CATTTTCAGAAAGAAAAAGATCACACTCACCATTGGACAAAATGGACCCTAAAAACCTGGTGCAGTCGTCATCCGTTTTACAGCTGAAGGATTCTGAAGACTGAAATACACACAGAGACATAATGTTAATTTGAATTTCTCATTAAATGGTTTATTCCTTTAAAGATGAATGCAGGTAACAATAATGGATGGATGGATGGATGGATGGATGGATGGATGGATGGATGGATGGAAGGATGGGTGGATAGATGACTATATATAAACAAGTCGGTTATTTAAAGGACCTGAAGAACAGATCTTTTAAAATGCTACTGTTCACTTTTTTTTTCCCAAAAAAACCCACACATGAAATGTGACAGCAAGTCCGCTAGTCCATTACAGAGCTACACAGAGACACACAAGGACAAACAACCATGCAAACTCACATTCACTCCTAAGGGCAATTTGGAATTTCCAATTTACCTAACATGCAGGTTTTTGGACGGTGTGAGGAAGTTGGAGTACCCGGAGAGAACCCACGCAGACATACGGAGAACATGCAAACTCCACACAGAAGGGTTCCAGTTCTCCCCAGGACTCGAACCGGGAACCCTCTTGCATTTCTCATAATGTTGCAATAAATTCTGCTCGGGCTGCTAAGTGGTTATAGTCGTTAAGAAAAACACATAGTTTTCAAAGGCTCCTCACCTCTGGACATCGTCCTTGAAACTGATTTTCAGTGATGATGGCTTTGGTCAAGATGCAGAACACGCCTGAACCCTTAAACACAACAAAATATTCACAGTAGTATGCTGTTTGATTGTGTCGCACAGTGCCACACTGCCTAGTAATCCACACGTCGGACACATTTTCATTAGTTTAGACACTTCATAAACCACTCACACGCCTGTTGCTGCCATCTCTGACATGCTGCATGTGCATTCCAAACCACCACCAAGCATTTCCCTCACTCCCATCACATGGAAACGTCACCCGAAAGTATCATATTTTTTACAGGTGTTAAAGCAGGTGACACACCTGGGAGGGGACGACATAGTCAGCGACGTCCATCACACGGTCGTGCTGGTAACCAAAGCCTTTGACTTTTGTCACGACTGACGACTCGATGCCAGTGTCGGTCAGCTGGTAAGCTTTCTCATGGATGAAGACCCAGCTGCATGAAAAAGAGCATAGCGCAGAATATTACACAGAGGGTTGACTTTGAAATAGAAAAATAATTCAGAGTTTTGACTGAAGTCTGAATCTTTTTGCAAAAGGTGAAAAATGTCTATTTCAGTATTTCAGGGCATCTGGATCCTTAAAATGGTATATTTCAATGACTACACTGTCAAAGAATAAGGGAAAAGATCACGTACCCCACAAAGTATGAGATGATGAGCAGCTGCACGATCCTGTTGATGATCCCTACAGACCAGCTTTTCACTACCACAGACTTGGTGGTCTCGTAGGTGAAAAAGTCAGTGACTATGCCCCACACACAGGAGGCCATGGCTGCTATCGACACAATCCACCTGCTCTAACGGTGTTGGACTTATGACTCCTCAGTGTGGCCTGTGTTCATCTGCTTCCCTTCACATTTAAAGACCAAAGCGTCCCGTGTCGTTCCTCCATCTCTGTCTCATTCGACATGGACGGGACCTCCCCCTCTTTAGTCAAATGACCGAGCGGAAGAAGTTTCTTTCCTTCTTTACCACAATTCCCTATCTCCCATGCCTCTCTCCACATCTCTGGCATGAACTGAAAAACACAAGCCACACACAAAAACAATTTACTGATGGATCCAGGCAGCACCCTTTACATCTGCTAACATTGGGTGTACACACATCTAGAACATAATTTCAACTTATTCCATTTCCAATGACTGAAAGGAAACCTTAAGTCTCAGACATCGGCATTTTGCTGTGAGAATGACAAAGAACACATCGCCTCGAGCTACCAAGTCTTTCTTATTTATTTACTGATTTGCTATCTTTTTAATAATCTAATTTACTTCCTTCCTCCCACCTCAATATCTCTCCTGGAGGCTCAGGACAGCTGTCAGAAGACGGATGTCACTTCTGCGAGATGTTACTCAGCTTAATCTGAAGACACGTTTTTAACTCACCTCTAAAGAAATTTTTTAAATTCTTTTAACTCTGTTCAGTGGGAATTTTTCAAAGGCATTTGCTAATAGAAACACAGCTGTGTAGCACTCAGAAAGATTACACTTTCACGTTTGTTTGCCTCCACATCAAGTTCCGAGGCATGATGATTCCCCTGATCACCTATTTTAATCCTAACCTCAAATTACTAATGGTTTTGAACAAACAGCTGCTTGAGGTGGTAACTTCTGGTCAATTTGCTGTTGAAGGACCATAATAAAACCACAGCAGTCGCACTGTCTAGTGCGACTGCTGTGGTTTCGTTGTGGGAGTTGATTCACTTGCTTAACAGTGTGTTGCAGTGAAGGAACCACCAGTGTTTCTGGTGGTATCTGCTTTCTTTGGGGCAAAAATTATCCTTCTTTTTCTTCAATAATTCACTTTGGGGAGTATATTTTGGTCACTGATCACAGTACAAACAAAGACATCTTCTTAACAGTTATTTTTCCTGGTTACACTTTTCAGCCTGTAATGAAAAAACATTTAAATTAAATGAAAGAAATTTTAGTCTGACAAGAATTTTATATGAAGAAAATAATGTAGAAACACTCTGATCTACCACTTCAATGTTGGAGGTACATTTTTTTGGGATTAGGACCGTACATCTTTGTAAATTTAGTCTTTCTTTTTATATGTTCTGCTAGTAACACAATATATATACATAGATATACGAGAAAACCTTTAAATCTAAAAGAATTAGACAGGCACTGAAGCTATTTTTTAGGCCAAATACTACTTAGGAATTCATAACAAAGAAAGAAAAAAAAATCTGTATAGCATCTACCTTGTTTCTTGAAAAAACTTTTTCTTTTACAGAGTAACTGTGGATAGTGATGATATTGATTGAACGCATTGAAATGTTTCTTTCCTCAGTTCTGGACCATTTATGGTTTCTTGTAAGTGGGGTAAAATGAACTACAGAAAATGTTAACACTTTAAACGCAGTCACTCAGACATCCAACCCAACACAGCTCAATAAACATCGTTTTGTCACGTTTCTGTACGTCAGCTGTATGAAAAAAGAAATCGGATTCTGCATTTACAGAGGACCATCTGTAAAAACACTGAGTCTAAATGCACTGTAATAAATCACATGCTGCAGAATAATTGACAATGGTACATTAACTGCAACATACGATACAAGTGTTTCGAAAGTACACTCACAGGGACCAGAAGCATTATACCCTTTCACATTAGGGAGATAATGTAATGCAGTGACAGTGTGTGCATAAATGTATGTGCCTGGAGAGCGTGTCATTTCTTAAGTGGCTCCATTATGTCTGTGGTCAGTTGATGGTAACCTGAGACAGGACATATGCACATAGACATATGCTCTGTACACACAAACAGGGACACGGGTTTCAGGCATCATGTAACTATAATGTTTATTATAGTGACAATCAGTAAGTGCTCTCTTAACGACCAATGATGTTGTAGGAAGCCCATGATTCAATTAACATGAACGTAAGAATGTGTATAGAGTGGAGGATGGTGTGATTAATTTGTTGTTGAGAGCAAACTATCATTAAGATTTCTGCGTCAAATTATTAATTCAATCTTCAACTGTTTAATTTATGGACAAGAAAGGACAAAACCATCTGGAGGTCACATGTATGACTACAACAATGCCACACTGTTAGGATTAAGTCCTGTTCCCACAGAGAGCACGATTAAGACCCAAATGTAGACTTAAGGAAGGCAGGTGAAGGGAATCCATCATCCATCCCTTTTTCACAGCAAATTTAATCCAGTCCTGGGTTTTGGGGGGGTGGCGGTGGGGTATACAATGGATTGGTTGCCTGTCCATCACAGGGCCACACAAAGAAAAACCAAAGTCACTCATACGTACAGTCAAGAATTGACCTAACATGCATTTTTTTGGACTTTTGGAAGAAGCTGGCTCCTTTAAATTCCATAAATCAGATAGTGATAAATGTGCTGCTTGTGAGCAGTTATCTCATAAGCACAGCTGTGCACATCAATAGACTCTTATAGCTGGAAATAAACACCAAGAGTTCAATTTTGGGACTTCTGGTCTGTGCTGCAGCCGGAAAACCTCGTCATCAGGGCAGCTCATATCCGATCGTTTTGGCTCTTAAAAACCGCACTCCAAACCACCTACTTAGGCCTCGACCTTCAGTTTAAAACCACTGTCTCTAAAAGTGCTGCCATCTAACACACTCTCCCAAACCGCTGTACCTGGTTAATATAGAGCATCACTTGGAGTGGCAAGCAGAAATCCTTTGGGACTGTCTGCACTAAAAGCCTGTGTGAATCAAACAAAATGTGGAGGATTAATGAGCAACAAAGCAGCTGTAAAAGTTCTGTTAAATGTTGAAGAAAAGCACTGTCATGGAAACATTTTTTGGCATTTGAAGAAAGAGACCTAAAGGAACCGTCAACATGCGACTTTTCCCCGACAAACAAAACCGACCCAACGTATAACTTAAAATCAAGCAATATTCTCAAAGCAGAACATGTTCAACCAAATAAAGCCACAGCTTAGTCTAGGCTATTGAAATTTAGCATTTCAACCCCTCCGAATTCTTCCAGATGTGTAGAGCTCTAAAATAATACTACACCAACTAAATCTTGAGGAAAAAGCTACCCAGCACTGAATCTGTACAAGCATGTGTGCATAGACCAAACTTTGGTCATCAGGTGATCATTTTCTACTAAATTAATCCAATAGCAGTTTGATATCGATTTCACTTTTATTTAGTATTCAAAAAATGTATTGGTTGTCCTGTCAAAAGTAGTATTGTAGACGGTGTGAATCATGCTGGCTCCCTCTCAGTTGTGGCCGACTGATGGGGATTTTGAAATGCTTGGTGCAGTTCAATGTCCTTTCTCTAAATCCCACGTTGACCTGACCAGAACCATGAGGAAAGTGGATGGGCCCAAAAAGAAGAAGCAGCAAATAAAAAAACAAAGCAAAGATTTATTGAAAATTATTTAAACATGACATGGTATATCACTCGAAAATGCAGATTTAAGAAAAAAAGCACTACACATGAGGAACAAAAAAAATCTGTTACTCTTTGTATTTTCTTTGTAATCGTCTAATCAGTCCTACAATCCACAGTGCTATTCTATCATCATAACAGCCGTTCCCATGGGTTGGATGGAAAACACTTCAGGAGAGGTACCCATCATTTCTCCGAGCCGTCAGTGGGAGGCCAACAGATTTCAGCTTCCAGACTTAGTCACAAGATTTGTTCTCTTGAAACTTAGCATCAAGGATAAAAGGTACAAATCAGGGTTTTTGGTGGTCTGAAATCAACTGAATATAAACGGTTGGTCCTTCGTTGCTGTGTAGGATCTGTAAATGTGTGTTTAGTCAGAGTCTTCCGCGGAGCTGGCAGGTGTCGATATAGCCTCCTCCTCCTCTTCATCCGATTCCTGTGTGGCAGAAACATCACAAAGATTAACTCGGTTTTATCAGCACGGGCCTTTAAAGTCAGATGTGGGACTCTAAATACGCATTCACACCACAGTTGAGGTGTGAATGCATCTTTCTTAATTTTGGTTGAACTCAGCATTATTTTTTAAACAGAGTAACTTAGGCTCAGTTTTTCTGCTGTCGTTTGGAAAAACGCCTCCTGCTTCAGAGCTCTCATAGCTACGTTCATCATCGTCTGTACCTTCTTCCTCTTGGACTTGCTCTTGTGGTCAGAGTCTGAGGAGCTCTCCTCGCTGGTCTCGATGAACTCTCGGCTCTTGAAGCTGTCGTTGCCTCCTCCCCGCTCCCTGTCCTTGTCTCCACCCGCAGATTTCCTTTTCTTCTCGTCCTTTTTGCCGGTAGATTTTTTACTCTCCCTGATAAGTGCGTGATAGAGGAACAAAAAAAAAATCATGTTTAACAAGTTTCCTTAAGAAAAAAAAAGTACCTCAGTCTGAAAAGACTTACTTCTTAGAACTTGAAGTTGATCCTCCACCGCTCTCTTTGTATTCTTTCTTTGCTTTGTCATACTGCCTCTTAGCCTCTCCTGCCTTTGTTTCCCACTCCTGAAAGAGCAAAAACACAGCGGTTTACCTACAAGCTTCTCTGTTGATTAACCATAAACCATTTTAACAGTGTTGTCTAACACACTTTAAAAAAAAAAAGTGGGTTGGAACTAAAGCATATTTCTCCCCCTTTGTCTCCCCTCTCACCTCCTTCTCATCTTTGCCCAGCTGTCTCCACATTTCCCCGGCCTTTTTAGAGATCTCGGTAATGGAGATGCCGGGGTTCTCTGCCTTGATTCGCTCTCGGCTGGAGTTCAGCCAAAGCATGTAGGCACTCATTGGCCTCTTCGGGCCACCCGTGTCCTTCTGCTTCTTCTTCTTAAAGTGGAGAAAAACAGAATGCAAAGTGAGTGATCATAGGTGCTGATTTGTTTTTTTGTTTTTTCTGGAATACTTTTGGCAGCTTGTTTCCCTTAGCTGGTTTCACCTCTTTGCGTGGCTTTCTTTCTTTTTTCTCCTTCACCACTTTGACCTTTTTGGGCTTTTTCTTTTTGGCGCTTTCATCCTCGCTGTCGTCCCCTTCTTCGCTGCTGTCGCTGGCGGTGGCGTTGCTGTCGTACCTTGAAACCAGGACAAACAAAAGGTTACCCTGACATAATCCAGGAACAAATGAGAAGCCTTGTGCCATCGTGTCAAGTTGGAAATCTGAAAGGCTCAAAAATAAGGAGAAAGCCACTCACTCCTCTGCAATATCGTCATCCTCCTCACCAGGGTTGAAAGACTCATCTAAATAGACAAGAGGCAAAGTCAGCGTTGGGGACTGCTGCTCCTGTGAGGATGGTCAGCAGGGTGATGAAGGCCCAGCTCTTCCACACTCACCACTTCCACCGTCCGACTCGTCGCTGTCGTTGCCCTCCTCCCTGATCTTTCCCTCGGCCTTCATCCTCTCCAGGTAGGCATCGTGCTGGTCTTCATCTGAGTCGCTGTACTCATCAATCTTGCCCTTCATGCCCTAGAAGCACAGCGCACGGTCAGCAACACATTACTTTCACCAAAGCACACCGAGAATGATTCTGATTTATGACTAATTCATATTAAGGTCAGAGAACACCACTCCCAGCCTCAGAGCGTGGGACAAAGAAATCAAGGTTTCCGCAAAACCAAATTTGTTTGATCTACACAGGAAAAGAGCAACGGGAGAGCTGGTATTTCTTTCTTTCAGAAAAAAAAGGGGGCTGGGGACATAATTTTAACATCAGCATGATGTAGAGTGCAAAAGAGTGGCATCCTGGGTCGTGCAGTTAGGGCAGAGTCACTCACACAAGTCATGCAGCATAAAAAAAAAAAGAAAACTCAAACAGTCTCAGGGTTAGAGTTGAAGTTACCTGACAAAATAACAACAATTTAATAGACACTTTGATTCTCCGATGCATCCGTCTAATTCTTTAAATGCAAAAAGGCCATGCGCCCATCTTGTTGCATAAAAAGCATCAAATGGATGGAAATTCGTGGAATCTATGCCTGAAAACAGCTACTCTCAAAGGAAAACTTGTAACCCCCCTTTGCTATTATGTGATTTCCAGAAGTTCATGTGGAGTTTCTGTGAGGAAAAATTCAACCCAACGCACACACAGCACTTGATCAGCTCAGCGCCTCCCAGATAGAAGAAATCTGCTCAACTTCTCAACAGACTAAAAGCGGCACCGTGGTGCTCACATGAGCACAACTCAATTTCAGCTTGAACAGCATCAATATCAGACAAATGACTTTTCACGTTGAATGTTTGCCAGCTGACTGAACATCGAAAGTAAGATCTTTAAAGTGGCTGCATCTGTATCTTCGGCTCTTCTTCTCTCTGAAAACATCAGGGACGAACTCTGTAAAGTTTCAATACATCTGCTGTGAACTTTCTTTGAGGAAAAGGTTCCTGCTCAGCCTCCACCCCTCCGATGGCAGCTAAATGTTTTTATCCCCACCATAAGGAAGCATTTTTAGAACAGTCCAACTGTCGAAGGATTAAATGCAAACATCTAACAGCCGTTTTACAACCAAACAGTAATAGCGGGATATTGGCATCTGATAATTGTCTACTGATCATTTAGTGGTTTATAGGCTGAAAACAGACTAAAAGCAATCAAAATCCTGTGTGGTAACATCATCGCAGAGCCAAAAGTCGAGCCGTTTCCTCTCCTCCACATATCAATATCCATGTCTGGGAGCAGACAGCAGCATCCAGTCGTGGAGGCAGCCATTAAAACACTAACAGGAAATGGAGAGAGGCTCCATTCATTTCCACTGACCTCTCCTGCTGACTCCCATCACCATGACAACAGATGGTTTTGTTTCCAGCAAAACCAAGTGCATGTGTGAGCCGGCAGACCCACCAGGAGCTTTTACAAGTCAGCGGTTCATTATGGGCGGGGCAGCGGCCACGCAGTGGTCATAATGACGACCGAGTCCAGAGTTAAAGAACACCCGAAGCCCCCAGGCACCTCATTAGTCAGTATGATTCAAACACACACACACAGTTATAACACACACTCAGGCACCCCGCACGTATCCCACAATTAGTTCTGAATCATTTCATATAGATTAGGATCAACACCAAACCCACTGGCAATGCAGGACCAAATCAGGATAATCGCACACAACCCAAGACGCGCACATCAGCAGCACACCATGCAGTCCGAGGCCACGCCACACCCGGAGGATCAAAAACCCTAATTTGCGTGTGACGACTGAGACCATACCCACCTTCTTCTACAGGGGTACAGGAACAGAAACAAAGGAGAGGGGATAAAAGGATCAATGACTGGGATGGAAGTCAAAGTGGGTGCAACGTTCTTCATTTGACAAACAGTGAGTGTGTGTGTGTACCTCTTTGAACCCTCGGTTCTTAATGTTGAGCTTCTTGGCGTTAACAAAGTCAAACAGCTTGCCGTACTCCTCTCTGAAGGGAAGACAGCAAAACACAGTTATCTTTGCAGCGGTGAGCACTGTAGGATACAACAGTATAGAGGCCCTATATGACTTTTAGTGCTCGTTAGGATCAGGTTTCAGAGGTGGTGATAGGATGGAATTAGATGAGTGGTAAATGGGAAAAAAAAGTGATTCGGCATATTTTAATCCTCTTTTTTAGTAATCCTATTCACAGTTTCAACAGATTGCTACCTTTTTTTGTTGTTTTTTTTCTTTTTAACCCGGAGGCTTGGCTACAAGAAATAAAAGAAGAAAAAACAACAACTGGAGACCCTTCTGACTGAGGGGTTTGTGTGTGTGTGGTGACGTCACCTCTCGATGCTGCTGAAGGTGTACTGGTTTCCCTGCTTGGTCTCAATCTCAAAGTCAAAGGAGCGTGTTGTGGTGGTGCCTCTGGCGAAGTTGACGCAGGAGATCTCCTCAAAGCGCAGGTGGACGGGGGGCTTGTGGACATAGATGAAGCCTCGTTCCAGGGGATAGAGCAGGCCTGAAGATGCTTTGTATGAGCAGGTGATGCATTGAGCTCCAGAGTGGCTGAGGAGAAGGAGTTGATTACAAAGAGAAGGTGGTTGGCTGTAGGGGTGGGGGGGAGATTAGACAGACACTTCTTTATGTTTATGAGAAGCATACCCTTGGAAATTTCCAGGTACGGTGATCTTGCGGTTGACCAGGGCCTTCATCACCCTGCTCACCATCTCATAAAGAGACCCTGACATGTTTTTGCTGAGTTTGCCCTCAAAGCGGCGCTCCACGTCCTCCCTGTTAAACGTGGAATGAGAAGCATGAATAAGTCTTAAGCTTCACATTATTCCCTGAGCAGCGGGCACTTGTGAAAAGCATGAAAACAAGCCTTTGGTTCCCCCGTGTGGATGTCGGCTTGAAAGCATCTGAGCGGGACCTTTTCAGAACCTTCTTTCCCAAAGCGGATTTGGTATTTGGTATTATTTGGTACTCACTCGCTCATGTTGAGGGTGAGGTTGATGTCCTCTTCTTTGGAGAACAGCAGAATGAGGAAGTGGTACCGCGTCTGGCCCTGCTTGATGGGAGGATCCAGGCTGATCTATGACCACAAGTCAAACACAGAGTGAGAGGGGAGAAGCTAAAGGACACAAACTCAAGAGGATTTTGACCAACAGTCAAAACTGACAGCTGTTCACTCACCACAAAAAACATCTGCCTCTGATCTTTGTGTGGCAGCAGGAAGAGACGCAGGACGGTGGTGTAGGGGATCTTGTAGTCAAACGTCTTACCGTGCAGGTGGAGGAACGTCGGATAGATACGAATGTCGTACCTGAGAGAACACACGCAGAGACAGTTAGGATTTATGTGAGCCATCTGACCAAAATATGAGGGAGGTTTGCGGGGTTCAATAACCATCTGAATCAATATGTTCCCAACAGACTGATTTTTATCTGCCTTTGGGTGCTTTTTTAAGGAAGCGGTTCATCTCCGTAAAATAAGCAACAGGATCTGGAAAAGTCCTGAGATGTTGGTAAAGCACATGTGTGTATGAGGATAATGTGCTACAGATTCAGAATATAAACGATAACCTTCAATTCATTTAATCATTAAATCTGTAGATTGCATCCCAAACCTTTAACTGATCTTGATGGAAACCACTATGCAGTCAGAGGAAAATAGAGGAGATATTTCATTTGTAACAACCACGAAGAAGAAAACGGACCTGCGCTTTGTTTTTTTGTCATACACAGTGACAGTTGGCCCAAGAAAATGGGGAAATGTATCATGTCAGAGTCATCTGGACAGCTACGTCCACCTCTCCAGTTTTTGTTAAAGATCAGTGTTGGGGCTTTAGTTTCATCCTTTCAGAGATTTATCTTTTGTGACAGTAGAATTCATTCTGTGGAGATGAGTAGGAAATACGAATGTTTCTGTTTAGATGTTATCTTCTACCTTCCTCTGGGTGTAAGACACTGCAGCTCCTTAAAGATACACACAGCGTCTCCAGTGGCCTGGATCACGTCAGCCTTAGACAACACATTCTGGGCAAAAGCCTGAAAGGGGAGAAGAAAGAAAGAAAGAAAAGAACAAGCAGTTTGCAATTAATAACAACGCAGACAAAAATCAGACGCAGGACACAGAAATAGCAGGCTGTATGAAGACAGCTGTGGGCGGCTCACCTCCACGGGGTCTTGTCTTTCGTCCGTCTGGCTGGGGGGGACGTAGAACCGGACCTCCATCAGGGAGACCTCTGTGTCGTCGTTCTGGTGAAACTCCAGGGTGACTTCGTTCTTCCCAGTGGCACACTGGGAGACGTTGGACAGCGGAATCTCGAACGCGGCGTTGTCATTGACGTCAAACGATAGCAGCGGCCCTGCGGGGGGGAACGAAGAGGAGCCGCCTTCAGAGTCTGCCCCTCCCTAAACATCACCTGCCTCCATATAATTTCCCAACAGATTAGCTCCACACCACAGAACGCCGGGACCTGGCTGGGTTTTACCTGAAAACTTGGCTGTTCCCCAGTTCCAGCCCTTCACACACATGTCCTTCTCCGTCAGTTCCATCTTGTAGTTAGCCTTAAAAAACTCAGAAATCTTCTCAAAATCCTGATGGGTGAGGAATAAAAAAAAGAAAGAGGGGAGACAGAGAGATTAACAGTGAGGTTAGGAGTGCTGGCTGGTCCACGAGGGAGGACAACAACAGAAAGAGGGGATCAGGCGTCAGTGAAAGCACCCGCTCTGCGTGGGTCACAGCCTGGGAAAACACCGGCCGGGAGTACACTAATCACTACACAACTGTAGCCACCAGGCCCGGGAACACACAAGGTGGATGTAATCCATCCACCCTTTGCCCCGGCACTGACAATCAGCCTGTTTATTTATCCTCCAGGCTCGCTTACAACTGAAAAAGGCGCACACGCAGTGACAAAAAACACGCGCGCGCATGCATGTGGACACACACAGCCCAGGTAGTCCAAACACATGTGGAAGTGATTGGTGAGCCAAGTGAGACCCTGTGGGGGGATTTACGCACCTGGATATCTGCCTGTCCATAAGGTTATTAGAGGCAATTAGAGGCCGGAGCGCCCCTGTGAGTGTCTGTGTGTGCGAGGACATTAATCAGCCCGTTTGTTGACCTGGATTAAGGAACTGTTTTGATAGGAGAACATGTGCGAGTAGATGTGGAAATGCGTAAAAATTAGAGCACCGTTAACACTAATAAACATTGATCCCATCACCATTTCATGCACACACCCATCCAACACGGCCACTGTGTCTGTTCTTTAAACATCTGTCCAGCATGGTTCACCGCACGCACGACATAACTTTTCTTTTTTTTTTTAAACGTGATTTTTCCTGAATCATTATTCATTCTAAACAACTAACACAAAGCTTTGTAAAACTACCATGAAGTTGGACATCTTCTGTCACCTGATTCAGTTAATTATCTCAAGACTAAATGGACCAGAGGAGTCGAGTTAGTGAACAGACCAAAACAAAGCATTTGAGCTCAAAAGCCAACTCTAGTAGTAAAATACATTCAGAGTGAACAATGATCAGCCTTCATTGTTTATTTTGGGTCCACTTGACACGCCAGCACTGCTTTGGAGCTATGAGGTGCAGACACAGGGCCCCTGTGGATGGCACTGTGGTTTTAGAGCTGTGCTCCTTGCTCTGGGAGACACGAGCACCGCACCCCCCCCCCCCCCCCCTCCCCCCCCCCCTCCTGCTGGTCAGCTGTGTAACAGCCTCTCTGGGAGATTCCCCAGCCTTTTTGAGGACACTTTACAGGGACAGATGAAGTTAAGCGTCCGCTCTTTGTGCCAGCCCCTAAAGCTCCGGCCTGTCCATTACTGACGTGGAATAAACAATGACATCACAGCTTCCGCTGAAGGACGAGAGGATCCATTTCCCCTCCAAAAGATATGCTGATTAACCCCAGGAGACATTCACAAACTACATCTTATACCCTCTCCTCCTCCCCGGTACTGCACTTGCATCTTGACATTCCCCAGACACTCAGAACAGGAGGGAAAAGATTTTTTTTAAAGTAAAAAACCCCCACAATGACATAAAACAAACATAGCCCCGTTTTCTTTCCTCTTCTGTTTTCCAAGCCAAATTGTTGCGTGGACTGATATAAACACTGACTCATAGGATCCAATGATTGCACTGTTTATGAAACGCACATGTTAGCGCCGCTTTCCCCCATTAATCCCATTAGAGGTTATGCGGAGCGGGGCCCACTCTTTGGCATAGTTCTGACCCACACACTCTAGCGGCGGCTTCAGTGTGGTGAGATGGTAAAATGTCAGGGAGGGACTGGAAGCTGTTTATTAGCGAGGCAATTGCTTGCGTTACACCCACTTTCATAAACACAGTGCTGACCGGAGCAGAAGTGTTTCACAACATTCATGCCTCACAGCGGGATGACTCGGTCTGGAAAAGAGGAGGCCAGCATCAGACACAGGCTGGACTCACCGTGTCTCTAAAGCCGTCGTATTTGTAGATATGACCCGTGCTGGTGCCGAGTTTGATGCCATGACCCAAACACACTCGTCTCCACTGAGCCTGGTTGAGCTCGCCGGCCGGGATGCTGTCCACCTTCCCCGTCTTGCTGCTTTTGTAAACCACATTCTGTTTGCTGAAACGCAGACGCCCGTCATTCTGCAGACAACATTGGTGTTAAGATGTTTCAAACAGGACAGAGAAGTCAACTAATCTAGTAGGCAAAACTTTATCAAAGGTATTTTTGCTTAGTTTTATGGGAATAAATTTAAAATTCTCTGGTAGTTCTCTGGTGTCATAAAAAAATATTTTAACCAACAGCAAAAGAAGCAACGCAACTGTTTCATTCTATTTATTTTTTTCCGTTACGGTGTGAATAAAAAAACAAGCCAATCCAAATAGAGTTCAAAAGACAAATTTTACTTCCATATATTAGTAAATTAGATCTTTCTGAATGCAAATGGCCACAAATGGTCATAGGCCTGGTGCTCTGGAATGTGGGATGTATCATCAGTTTGGTAAACTAAAGCACCCATGTTTCACAATATATACATTCTAAAACAACTGGCAGACTTTCAAGTGTAATTTTCCCCAGGTTGATGTCATCAGATATATAAAGGACACTACAACTAGATCGCACTGCAAAAAATAAAATACATTGTGTTTAACATTCAGAACAGATCACAATGCACCTTATGTTAAATCAGACCTTGGTATGTTTATCAGCATCCTACTTGAGCACAGGGACAAAAAGATATCCTTCAAATCTTGTTGGATATACTGACCCATGAGCCTTTGACCTCCTGGTAGATTTCGTTGAACTCCAGCGTATCTCCCATGACTGATGCTCTGCATACAAATAAAACACCACATTTATTCCTGGTCTTTATAAGCTACACTCAGTGTCCTAAAACTGTAATTCTGGCTTCCCCTACTGGTAGTTTGATTTGCATTACATAGAGATGTTCACAAATACATGACTATGTCAAAAACTTAAATAAAAAACTAGGGTCACAACGGACTCCAAAGTCAGAAACACCACAACAGCTCCCTGAAATTTCAATGTTACTTTTTGTTTTCTCTTGAGTCGTATATTGCTGACTGTCGCATGGTTTAAGGAAGAGTTACACTGCAATTGCAACAGAATGTTCTGGTTGATAGCAATACAATCAACGTGGCCAACGTTTTGGCGACAGTTATTTTTTTCTTAGAATTTATCAAACTTAATATTAAAATTAGAATCTCTGCCTTTCTAAATGCTAATGATATCCAACATCCATGCTCCGCCACTCACAAAAGCTAGGCCAACTACACAAAATGTGCTTGTTTAATGTTAAAACGTTGGGTCGAGCCACATTTTGAGGAGTCAAAGGCAGCATTTACTATGGCACCACCCGGAAGAGACAAAGTATACGGTAAATCAAGCGCACCAAAAGAACTAGGCCGGTCTCAGAGGTGATGTTTAGGGCTCATGTAATAAACAAACACGCTCTAAATAAAACAGACTAATACACGTACACAATGTCTACAGTTTCTTGCTGTCATGCAAGCAATCGATAATTTCTAAATATGCAAGAAACTCTAGCTGAAAACTTAAAAGTCTTACTCTCACAATGATGTTCAGCTTCGTGTTTTTCCCGCGTGTAGCATCAGGAGCTAGCGTTACGTCACAGGAAACACTCATAAGCACAAATATCTACTTCCGGTTGGTCAATCGTGTTTCATATTTGATTACATATTTGATTTTATAGAAAATAAAACGCTTCAAGTTGTGCCAGAAAAGAATGAAACTGTGTTTTTTTAAACTATCAAAATAGTCATACAACTCCAGTTTGAAAGCAGAGAAAACTGTTCAGGAGTCTGCGCAGTGCATAACTGGCTGAAGTAACCACTAACCACCGCTGGAGGGAGCACAACTCATCGGATAGAACTATTTGGCTAAAAACAGGTCGGTTTTGTTGAATCAAATGTGTACCTGAACAGAGCCTAAAATGCAAAACACGAACAAAAGAACCACGCGTACTGTATTTTTTTGTTTATCTGCTCACATAAACCTCTCTAAATTGATATTTTGATCTGAATTACTAAGAGAAAAAAAACTGGTGCAGTGAGGCCCTAAATTAGATTAACCCTCCCGAGGCGGTTGGTAAAATGCTGTAAAAGATAGTAATTTGATCAAGCAAAATTGTAAATTAATAATAATGAAGAGGGCAAACCAAATGTTACAGATTTAAAACCGACCTCTAGACCAATATTTTAGGTGAGATTTCGTTTAACGCATATTCTCACAAACAAATGTCGGTTTAAAAACTTTTGTGTCCGGAGCCTTCTCAAATTTGTCTTAGCAATAATTAAAGTATCATAACCAGAGCACTATTCAAACACATAAACTAGGTTTTAGGTTTTAGTTTGAGTGGTTTTAGTTTTTTAAAGATAAAAAAAATGTTTAAACGATCCAGGAGGAAGGGAACTTCGGTACAGATGTTTAGGTGACTAACATCTGTAAGATAAATACATAAACAATTTTCAATTGCATGAAGAGTGGGTTTCGACACTTGACGTCAACCCTTTTATAATGGACAGAATAGAAAATAACAACGGTCGCTTTTAATTCGTCGTCATAGGCCATTTCTCTAAATGTAAAAGTCCGTCATTCTTCATATTTATGAGTAAATGGAAGACTTAGTGACAAGTTTTTTCTTGATTTATTTTATGGTCATAATTCTCAGTTTTTTCCAAGTTGCGTGTGAAATTTAAAGTATGTCAGATAAACAAAATAAGTGCTTAATTGTAAAGACAATACGTTTGTCATAAAAACGATTTCAGAATCTGGCACAGTTTAAAATAGCCCGTGGATATTTTATTTCTTTTTTAAAAAGCCATTTAAAATAAGTTAGAGGGCAGGTTATCCCTCGTTTCCTGGAGCATTCGACTTGCTGAACTCCACTGGTCCCTCCTGGTATGACCTGATGGAGCTGGACTCGTTACCCTATTAAAGGGAAGCAGATTAAAGATCAAACGCTCGCAGTCAGAATGAGTTGGTGGGGATGAGGAGGGGACGAGAGACAGAAATGAGTTATGACAAGTCCCGTGGTTCAGCTGCTCTGTCAAGTTGAGCCACGATGCGTCAACCCGGTGAATCACCCGCACCGAGGAAGAGGAGGAGGAGGAGGAGGATAGCGAGAGAGCAGCGGAGACAGGGATGGGAAGGAGGGAGGAAAAGGAGAAAAGGGGAGAATAAGAGGAGGAGGAGGAGGTACAAAAAGGCTGCGCCGTCATTCAGTCTGTCATACGGACCACACAAGTCAGCGGACTGTCCAAACCCCTGTTCCGAGTAGATCCGTCTCTCATCTAGGTATTGTCATTATTTCTTTTCTTAGCTGGAAATCTCCCCACAGAACCAGATCAGAGCATCACCTGCGTCCCCACATTTGAATTTTAATTCAGCTGAGGAGAAGTTTTCTTTCACTTACAAGTGAGACCTGAGGGCAAACCGGGAGCTGGAGACAATGGGAGGCTTTTACAAAGGTAAGATTACAGATTCCATACTTTTTATGGAAGTTCTTTTTATGGAATGTTTTTTTTTTTTTTACCCGTCAGAACCAGTTAAAACTGTTAAAAAATATCACACTGCATGGTTTATGGTATAAGCTGTACATTATTATGGCGGTTGTGTAGAACAAGCCTCAGACAGTATTGTTTTGTATTTATTACAACAGAAATAAGACAATCAATTTAACCAAATTAGCCTTTTCAAGTTGAAAATGTTTATCCTTTAAATGTGGGCTATGTTTCACTAAGACCTGAAATGTAGCTGTTAATCCTTCCATTGCATAGAATACCTTAAACAAATGAAGTATGGTGGTCCTAAATAAATTGTATACAGCAAATAATGCAATTATCACACAATTTAATGAAAAACCAGGCAGCCTTGAATAGAGAGTGATAGTTTCAGAGGACTCATTAGTTTGATTCTGAGAAGAACTAGAGGAACGGAGCATAAAGAAGGACGGAGTAAAAGCTGCTTCCATGTGTGTGACAGAGGTTGAGGGGGTCAGAGCAGCCGAAGCCCCCGTCTAGTTAGCCGTCACTGATACGAGAAAGTACATGATTCACGTTAGTCAGGGTGTGAGAGGACACACATTTATTTTCCCCTTAGGGTTGTTTAGTGCGGCTGCTGTTTCTTGTCTGTACGGAGGGAAAAAAGAGTAGAAAAAAATGAAGTAAGGACAATAGGAGCCATCGACCTTTCTCTTCCTCCCCTGTTACTTCTGCCCTCCCTCACCCTCATCAACCCATTCGGGGGGTCAGAATGTGTGAAGCAGCAATCAGCGTATTATGTGTAACTTTAGAAGGACAATAAATATAGTGCTTCTTCAGACACCCAAAGCAAATAAATCCACAGAAAGCTCAGCTGCTGAAGAGCACGTTTTGACACCCACGCAAATGGTGTATTTATCTCTACTGGTGCCTACAATAGCAAAGATGCCTGTTTTCCTTGACGTTAATTGACTTTAGATACACATAGCCCGTTCCCCTGTCTACACTCCTGCTACACACACACACTCAGGAAGAGATTGCTATTGCAGGGATACTTGAATTAGTGTCGGTGTGTTTCAGATAAAAGCTTTAGTGTGTGTTGGATCAGCCAGCTCCAATCAGAGGAAACAAAGGAGCAGGAGGAGGGGATGGGAAGCTGGGAGCCTAAAGTGAACCTTTCACATCTTTTGATTCACTCAAGCCATCCTCCATTCTTTATGGTACATATATGTAAGGAGGATGAGTGATAGAGGGTTAGGGTTAGGCGTCTGCGTTGGCATGAAGGGGAGTTTAGAGAGGCAGAAACAGATAAAAGTACATGAGAAGCAGAGGAGGACTGGCGGCAGAGGGGTTAATGCAGTGCAGATTGACAGAAGTTAGCAGCACCCAGAGGGGAAGAGAGAGAAGAGAGAAGGGGGGACTGATATAAAATGAGTCGGTCACGCTTTGAACAGTTACACATGCTGTTTACATTTTTCCCAAATTAACATGGCCCCTCGCTTCAGAAAAACTCTCCCTCCCCTCCACCTTTTCCTCTTCCTCCACCTCCGCCTTCCCTCTGACTTCAAAATGTATTTTCTCGTACTTAATTTTTTTTTTTTGTTGCTTTTTTAATTAGGTTAGACATTTTTAAATGGGTGCGTGTTGTCAGTATTTTGATGTAGCAGTTCTATCTTTAAGTGTTGGAGTTTGAATGGATTAAATTTCAAATCTGAAATGTTCCAAAGAAAGCTGGACATATAAGGTGATTATTCGGTTAGCAACAGTAAGACAAACAAGCAGACAAGATCCCATCTTCTGGGTTCTACTTTAAATATTCAACCCTTATGTTCCTTGCAGTGTAGCCAGAACTTTTGCATTGAGTGTGGATTTCAGGTTTTGGAGATTTGCTGCATTGTCTCTAAAAATAATCCGGGTAGCTTTGACTAACAAGAACAAAACAGAAAAACTGTGTACATTTGGGATCTGATTCCTCCAAAAGAGATTATCTAAAACAAGCAGCCACTTTGGACAGAAACAACTTTAAGGCGGACGGGCATTGATAAGCAGCCGCTTCTTTTACGTTTATACTGCTCACTAACTTATATATTTGAAACTGAATTTCCTCATAGATTAAAGCTCCAGAGATGAAAAAATTAGATGATAAAATTAAACAATTTTTTCTCCTGAAGAAGGTTTTTAACTTTTAGTGAAAAACAACTCCACAGTGATGCAACTGAAATTTGTTTTAATTAGTTTTTTGTATTTAATTCGTCAGTTTTGTACAGAACACAAGCAGACAGAGAGCACAAAAATAACATGTATATTTTTCTTTCTCTGTCAGCTGAATTTCTAGAAGCCAAAATATAGTTTTTAAGGTTGGCTTTTTTTCCGGCAAAATTATTTCAATTATCTGTAACATTTTCAGATAACAGATAACTTCAGACACTTTTGGTGTGTTGCTTTCATACATTTTAAGCTTTTCGCCTTTCACTTCATGGCTTTTAACGAACTCGGTCATTGTAGGAGTAGAGAGCAGGGCGTGACCCTCCAACAGGTCAACGTTAAAGGACAGCGTGAAATAACACGCAAAACAACCAATTTCTGCTGTCCAGCTCATGCAGATGGTATTTCTGTCTGATTCCAAAGCTATAAATTACTTCTTCTTTCTTTTTTTAAGCAAAAAGCATAAGGTCGAGGGACAGGCAACAGGGTGCGTGTTTCAGAGGAAAATCAAAACCCAAAGTTCTGAAGAGGGTAAGACAGGAACAGATGATGAAAGAGCAAAATGAGTGGAGCCAATTAGCGAAAGGAAGAGAGGGCAGAGGAAAGACATTTGCCATTTTAGAGACTCTTAAGGAACAGAGAAGGACCGATGAAGCAATGACAAAATTGAACCCAAACGTGGCAATAAAAGTATAAAAGGCACTGGAATCCCCACATTTAAAGGGAAAAAAGAAAACAAAGAAGGAAAAGGTCGGGGATAGATAGACTTATAAGGTGAAGAGGGAGAAAAGGCAAGCAGGGAAAACCAAGCGGAGGATGTTGAGTTTACGAGAGAGAGAAACGTTCGCGCTGGGTTTCACAGGATAAACATCATTTTTATTGGATTCTCTAAATCGTTTTTCATTTGTTTTTGGGTCACTGATATTTGCACCGCTAAATGCATCCGTTGTCGAGAGGCTGACGTTAAAAGCATGAACAAATAATGAATGTGAATTGAAATGGGAATAGCATGTGGGTTCGAGCATGTATGCGTCTGCTCGGGGAAACAAAGGCTTATTTGCGTATATTTGTTCGGAACAACGCCTGTGGATACGTGGGTTCACTCTACAGTGCACACTCTGGATGCATATGTGTGTGTGTGTTGAGTTAGTGAAGGAATGCACACTTGATTGAGTACAGACTGCACATAAATCTGGCCTTTAACTGTACACAGACACACAACACTGACCCCAACCCCAAATTGTCATCCAGACTGATGTGGATCCCCAGCTCATGTTTGTATTTGGGTCCCTTCTGGGCTTCCTTCGTTCCCCCACACACCGGCCTTTGTCCGTGGCATCCATAGCTGGTTTTATATTTAAGCTCGGTGATGTGCAGAGGACCAAACTCCCACCAGGTATTGAGCAGGAGTCAAAACCTATGCGTGGCTCTTTCCTGTCAACAGATGCACAACGGGCCTCGGGCTCAGGCTCCACCACATCAAGTGTGGACAAGAAGTATGCAAATCAAAGCGACAGAAGGGTACCCACTCTGAGAAAAGCATGCGAAACCAAAGTTTAGTTCCGGCAATAGGTTGATTTCTGGGGACACATCTGCTTTGGACTAGACAGAACGTATCTCACTGAGTAGTGCTACAAGTGCAGAACCCTAATGCTACAGATCAGTCCCAAACCAGCAAATCAGCAGATAGATACCTTTCACGATTTTGAATTGGTCTATTTTGCTGGATGCAAGCACTCTGTTAGCCCACTATCTGTAGCGTCCACTGGTGCTTGTACAACAGAGAAGTTGTAAATGAAATTTTCAGGGTTTTCTCAAAGGTTTAGCTGACAGGGGAAAAAGCCTGGAGGAAGACTGGAAGGAATCACAGTCAGGAGGCTTTTATCATACTTCCCTTCAAATTAAATGTGAGCTGGAGCACCTTTTTTTTTTAGATACTTCTTCTGCTCGAGAGCGACTCATTTGAATTGAATTAATTTTGTGCCACATTTTTTCTGAATCTGGATACGCTTCCATACTGCACACTTTGTGCTGGAAAGTTCTCAGCCTCCATCCATGTTCCACACCCCCAAAATCCTTTGAAACAGGAAACTTTGTATTTATGCTGATGTATACAAAATTATACAAAATATGTCATTACAGCGTTTGTTTTAATGGAGGCCACGATGTGTTCCTGACCTTAACCATGCTGGATTGAAGACTTAACCATAACTGTGTATTTTGTATGTGTAAAACAGAGATGAAGGAGAGAACAGCTAAATGCCAAAACCTAGAAATACTTGGCATTTAGAATTAGTCTCAGACTCTTCTACTTGAAAAGTAGAGGGGGCTCATTGGCCACACAAACCCTCCAAAATCCAAAAGTAATGCAACAGTCATTTTTGTCTCCGGTTACATGAAAAAAGAAAGAGAAAAAATGATTTTGTTGATCAACAGATTAGACTTTCTATGATAATTTTACTTTTTGCTTTGAAACTGAGACTTTGTCCACAGTGGAGTGGAATATCTGATATATTAGTGGGTGACTTTTATGATTCCCATCTCAACAATATATTTTTAAAGTGGCTTTACTTCAAAGTGCCATTTCAGGATCCAGTCGCTCTTAGCTTGCTCTGTTAATTCCCACTTTTCAGTTGTTTTGCACACTACAAACTGACAAAGTAAGGTAGAGAAAACAAGACACTGCATTATTGACTATAACATTTTCTGTTTTGTGACTCTTTAGCATTCCCAGTAGGGATTGTTTTCCCTACTGAGTAATCTCCAGAGACTTTCTCACCTGTGCTGGCCTCTGTTGGTCACTAGCTTCCAACATCTCTCTGTTATTAAGAGCATTTTGGCTTTTGTGAATGATCCCATGCAGTTGTGTGTTAACTGTGTGCTGTTCAGTTTAAAGTCTCTAAAAGTCTCATGGATTTGACCCTAAAACTCTCACTCCACTTCCGGAGTGGATTTGGTGGTATTCCTGCTGATCTATATATTTTTTCTGTTTGTTAAGCTTTGGTTTTTATTACCAGTATTTTTTGTGCAATTTGAAGTAACGTTTCTTGCATTTCATAAAGAAATCTTTTGGAAAATGTACTGGCCCCAGTCCTCCACTGTTGAAGTTTTCTAAAAATCTAGCATCTTCTGTTTGTGTCCCCTTCTCACAACTCAAGTGGCTGTACTCACACAGAATGAAACGACTTGATTGTCTTGAAAGAAACCCAACAGAAAAAGAAAAATCCATCCACCTTTATTGAACTTTATAAAAAACATATCTGCAGATGTAACTATACGGTGTGCCTGAGTATTTGATCACACTATGCCGAATATTTCACATTTCTCTGACTTTGAATGACTTCTTGGCTGACTTATTATTTACTCTCTCTACTCTTAATCCTGTAAAGTCTTTCTGGCTTTACAATATTTTCTGGACTTATCAGATTTCTTCTATTAGGCCACAAACACCTTACAAGTAAGCGTAAATACAAAAAGAAGGAATATAAGAGTTCAAATTAAATAAAAATTCCAGAAGATCTTTGAGGATGGATTCAATCTGTACTCGCTTTTTTATATAGCAAAAGGTCAGCATGAGAAATATCTGGTTACCTTCTTTTTTTCTTTCGCTCATGTTGTCAGCTCCCTGCTGCAACTGGACTGAAGTCAGAGGGTGTCGAGTGCAGCACATGGGCTCGTTCTCCGTTAAATCCTGCCAAAGTCTCACAATGTACGCTCATCAAAACATGATGATATTCTTTAGCCATCCTAATCAGTGTCACACGGGAAATGATAAACATAATAAATTTTGACCTGATTAACAACATCTTCTGCACACACACATCATGTTTCGTCCCTACAGAAGACCTCTTTCAAGTGGTTAGAGTGTTGGAGGGCAAACTTTTTTTTTGGCAGATAGTTTTTCCTGGACCAGACTGGATAGATTTACGTACGCATGGTTTTCCCACCACACCAAATTCTCCTTAAGTGCTTGTTTAAAACCTCTAATGCTGGTGCAGGTTGGGAAGAATGAAATACTAGTCCTCTTGGAGGGAAATCTTAAAACATGTAGAAACACTGGGGGTCTCTGGTTGAACGAGTCTCAGACCGGAGTAAAAAAATATCACGTGTTAAAGGGGTGTTATTGCCCCTGAACACAACCTTGTGTCCCAAAATTCAACTCTGAACCCTGACCCTCCAGTGATGTTTGATTCTGACCGTTTAGAGGCTTTGTTGCCCAAACCTCATGTTCAGCTTTGCTCTGTTCTGCAGATGGCAGCCAGACTCCAGAGTGCCACATCTGACATCACAGCAGAGAACAAACTGAAGATAAAAATATGATCCGCGGCGAATAACAGAGCTCCCCCTGTGTGTGCATATGTGTAACTCTAATGGCTGTGTGCGTGTGGAGTCTTACATATAAGTGCACTGCGGCGGGTCATGGTCAGCCGTTGTAGGGAACCCCTGTGTTCCTGTAATGCAATCCTCCCATGGAGAATGTTCTGGTTTCAACCGTGCCCTGCGGAGTGTGCTTCCACTGCCAGGTACACAGAGTCAGCCTCAAGCCTGCAGGGCTCGCCTTGAAGTCAGGCTAAATGCCGACTTCAGTGTAGTTACTCAATCTAATATTGTATAACAACAACACAGCTCTTGGTTTGAGTTATCTCAGTTTACTCGTACAAAAGAGCGGTTGTTTTTTGGCTCAGCAGAGGTTACTTTTAGACATGTCAGAGCTCAATCAAAACAACAAGTCCTGCACGTCTGGCAATCATCTCCATGCATGTGGCTGCAGACAAAAGGAAACAGTTTGGGTTGATTTTTTACTTTTTCCATCCATTACTCCTGTTTTCTTGTCAGTACCTATTTTTCCCCTTGTTTTTGTGACTCTTGTTGCACTATTTGTGTCATTTTTTTTCAGGACTGTGTGGCATGAGAGCCTGCGATGTGTGGTTAGTTTTTTTTTTTTGGTAGTAAAGCAGAATGTATAGTAGGAGGAGTCAGAGGCTTGATGAGCTCCAAATGTTCAGCGGAGAGATGAATATTGTGCGTGACAGGTGATGAGGCTTTTTCAGTTGAGGAGAACGGCTGATGGGGATTGTCCTGGTTGACTGATTCCAAGGTGTGTGCTTGTTAGGGAACATGTAGGAGCCGCATGGCCTAACCTCTCTGATTTAGAAAAAAAAAGTCCAGGGGGGAGGTTTTGACATCGTTGACAATTCAGGATCAGCAGGTTGTGCAACATTTAAAAGCTCTGTTTTGTCTTTTCGTTTTCATCAGCAGCTCTTCAGTGCCGCTACACTCGCAGTCATTTCTAATAATTTTAATTTGATGTTGCCAGCTTCCCAATATGTCATTCAATCTATTATCATGAACCCAAGTTGTGAAATGAATTTGTTTCTAAGTGAGGCAGAGCTTGTAACTAGTCGTGACTGTATTTTTAACCCAGTGGTAACAAATGGATTTATTTTGCCAATTTGTTTCCTTCTCCTCACTTCCGAGGCTGGTGGCACGTTTTATTAAAACGGGCAATAAAATGTTCGTACTGACTGTGACTGTTACCCAATCAGCCCACCAAGTTTTACATTTTAGTGCGCTGAGTAATACATATACAAAAGATCGCTGAGTTTCTACCCAGCCCTGTTATGTGGGAGTATGGGCACAGCAAAAGGTGTCATCAGCGCTCATTTTAAGTCTCTTGTTCTTTTCGTGTGGCCCATTGTGACAGAAAAAAAGATAAAAGGGCTGACAGTAAAAGGACAAGACAAGAGAAGAGAGGGAGCTAATAGGGGTCAATGGGCAGTCAGTTTTGACTCGAGACTAATGAGAGATGAGTGCTGAAGGATAAAAGACGCTAAAGCATGGGGGCGAGAAGGTATTCTGAATAAAGGATGTAGGTTAGTGTACAGCATGAGTAATTTGAAAGGAGAAGGGGATTTAATTTGGTGAGGCAACAGGAAGCCAGAGGTGTGTCTGAGCCGAAGAAAGACTGATTGAGTGAAAGACAGAAAGACGACAGGGCCATTCACGTTGTGCAATGCATATTTCACACCCGATGAACAGCAGCATGTTTTACAAGTATGAATCACAGATTTCTGACATACAGCAGAGAAACTACAGAAAAAAGATGACAAAGAGCAGGAATGGCCAAAAAAAATTGTGTTTAGCTCCACTGAAAGTGAGAGGAAGTGTTGAGAGAGTTAGTTCATAGATAAGGGAAGTGTGAAAGTGAAAGCATCCACAGAGAGCAAGCAAAAAGAAAAAAGACGTACAAAAAGTTCCTTACTGTTGAAAACCACCTTTCAGCTCCAATTTTCTCTGTTTGAAACCAGAGACAGGGGCACTAAAAGGTTCCCAGTGTTATAACCCCCCTTCCTCTTTCTGTCTTACTCACACGCACCATCACACATACACACACACACACACACACACAATCCCCAAATGCACTCGTAGTGATGCGAATTTAATCCACATATGTAATTACAGCTACAAACATTCTCACAAACACTCACAAGGTAACACAAAACACCTACACAAATGCTCTGAAGCCCAAACAAGAAGTCCGCAGCAAACATACAACTGATACAAACACATTAATGTTTGTGATTGCAAAGAAAGCCAAATGTCTTTGTTTTTGGGGATTTCAGTCAGGAATGACTATGAGTGTATGAGTGTGTTGAGGCGGCAGTTTGCCTGACAGACTGGTGCATTGAACATTGGAGCCATTTGTTTGACTGTCTGAAGCCATTAAACGAGGTTTTATTTGAAGCCAGAGTAAACCTCCGACAGCCAGAAACCTCTAAAATTAGATTAGAAACGGAAAAAGCTTTATTGGCAGTGTCAGATGACTCTGACCTGACAATATGCAAACAGAGGAGGTCATTGCCATAGAGATGGAGAAATAAACTCAAGAATTTTCAAAAATTCCTATAAACAGTGTGATGGTACAGTGACCCGAACAAAGCTGCAGCAACAAAAGTGTTGCTGGAGGTGATTTTTGTCTTTACGGCTCTCAATCATTAAATTCTACCACCACCCCCCCTTAAAATAAAAAATCAGCGTCCAAGCTAAACAGTCACAAATGGTCAGGGAAAATGACAGCTGGAATAAATGTTCTCATTGTTTTTAGTGTTTCTGCCCCTGGACACCTTAGATGAGGATGTGATTAAAGAAACATCTTGTCGTGTCGGGCCGAGTTGTAATCAGTCTTTTGGATTTTAATTTCTCCACAGTCAATTACTGGCTCGTTTTGCTGCTGGCTGCTGCCGTGGCGGTTGCTGCCAATCCGTCCCTCAACTTGGCCAACGAAAGGAGCTCCATTGAAAGTACCTATGAGCTGACCAAATACCTGGAGTTCCAGCTGAAGGAAATCAAAGACGTATATGTAAGTTTTTTTTAATGTTTTGTCTTTGTGCAGAAGCTCACTGGTTTTGCACAAAATTAACACCCAAAAATACGTAGCCTCTCATAAGTTAGTGGCACAGAATAGATCAAATGTCATAAGTAAAACAGGAAAACAAGAGGAACAGTCGTTGTGTATGACTACAAAGATAATTCATTTTCAAAGCTTGATTTTGTGTGACACAGAAATTGGATTAAATTCTGAACGTAAGCCAGTTTTTTCCACTGTGTGCAGTCTCCTTGGAAAAAGCACACATCACATCTTGTAACTGTTTTGCATCTTTTTTTGAAAAATTGATAACTAAACAGACGAAGTCTAAAGTTTATGGTAAAAGCTGAGGGTTTAACCTGGGAAGTGTTAACTCATTCTGGAGGCTGACGTCGAATGTGAGCAGTATCTAGTGTCTTCTGATTTTAGATGGCTATTTTAAACTTTCTTTTAAAAGCTCAAAAAAGGCCTAAGCCTGTAATGAGTTGAACAAAACTACATACCATAAGCACACCATTTCTTGACAACAACGCTTTATTCATCTCCTGAGAACTTTATTGCAGTGTCTCAATTTTGTTTTCGTCTGCAGCCACGCAAGTTCTGGAACTTCCGACCAAGACACTCTTGCTTCTCTTTGAAATCCACTTTTGCAGGACAATAACTATTTATTGTGTTGACTAACTGTTTTTATTCTGAAGTGTTTGCTTTGTTTGCCTTGTTGAATATGTTTCTCACAGTTGATGTGCTTAAATACGAGAATGTGGCCACAGAACTCTGATGAATTCAGATCTGGCAAATTTTATTCACACATTGTGGTTACCCTGACTGTTTTTAAACGAAGACCAAAGAGAAGAACAAAGCTAAACTGAAGTTGTCAGTGCTGTGGAGGCTGGCTTTCCTGTCCAGCCTTGTTCTAGTGAAGCTGGGAAGGCTGTACATAGTTTTATAGGTATAGGGGGTATGACAGCAGCAGTTTAACTGTAAAAATAAGTGGTTTTCAGTGTCATCTGAACAACCTCTCTGATCGTCTCTATGCTTTAGTTTTTGGCCTTTCTTATACCTTTAGATTAGTCAAGCTTTCCACAGTGTAGAAATTAGAGTATGAAAACATTTTTAAACAGAATGGAGTATTTTTAGTGATCTCTTCCACTCTTCTCATTCGTCTGTTTCCCTTCCAGCTGACCTATCTCGGGCCACCATTCAATGAGAAAGACTTCTCTCCGCCTCGGCCCAACAGTACAGCTCTGACTCTGCCGAGTGCCGCCACCCGACTGGAGCTGTGGCACGGCCTGGAAAACCAAGCCCGGCTCGCCCAGAACCAGAAAGCTTACTCCATCCTCTTGGCAGCCGTCAGAGAGCTGGCCCGCTCTACCCTCTGCCCCTCCCTGAAGACCTCGCTGCTCCACTTTTGCACAGGTTTAGATGGACTGCTGGGCTCCATTTCTGCACTGATGACCACGCTTGGTTACTCCTCCTCCCCTCCTCAGTCTGCAAACATGGGAAGCTTCGCTGGTGAGCTGCAGTACTCGCCGAGAGGAGCAGGCGGCAACCGACCTGCGCCACTTATGAGCCAAAGCTTGTTCAGATCGAGAGCAGGATCAAGAGCGGAGTCTGGTCAGCGGAGCAGCCACAGAAGGAGTGGAGCAAAGGTGGCAAGAGACGAGAGGGAAGATGGCACCAACATGGACCCGATGGAAAAAAGGAGAGGGCGAGAGGGGAGGAGAGCAGACGCAACCACAACTGGAGGAAGGAGTGGTGGATTTAGGGAGAAGGGAAGAGGAGAAAGAGGGAGAAGAGAGAAGAGAGAAGAGCCAGAGTGCAGGAAAAGGTCTGTCAGTGAGAAGGAGATAGCAAGGATGGTGGAAGAGGAGGTGCTGGAGCAGGTGCAAGAAGCAGAGAGATTGGGAAGGAGGAGAAGGTTGTTGAGTATTGATGAGGATGTCGACGTCCAGGACAGGCGGCCTGAGCTTAGAGTTGAAGTGTCATATCTTAGCAACAGCGGAGCGATAAACCCACCACCGAGTAACGACAATCGGTACAGCTTCAGCCTGAGCCCTCACCACCCCGAGCCTCTCAGAGTAGAGGATGGATTCACTCTGAAAAGACAAGGAAGCTTGATGATAGAGAGGGGGGAGCAAACAGATACGGAAGCTGCATCTTCTTCTCATCATCATCAGTCCCGGCTCCCTCGCTCCCTCCTCTCCCCCACCCCCCCGCCTCCTCTGTCCACCCTCTCCCTTCTGTATCAGTTCGGCGGAGGTGAGGAGCACACCCTCCTCCCACAGCCCGTCCCGCTTTCTCTGCGAAGGGGCACCTCCCTCCTCTCGCCTCCTCTCGGACCCCTCTTCTCTTCTTCCACCACCTCAACGTCCTCCTCGCTCATCTCAGTGCGGCCGGCCATGAACGATTTTGCCCGGAAGGTGGAGGGGTTCTGGATACTGCGCGAGCTGCAGAGCTGGCTGTGGCGGTCAGCGAAGGACTTTAACCGCCTCAAGAGGAGACTCAGAGGCTGAGAAAGGAGAATAAGACACATACAGACAACCAAATCTCAGTGTAGCAGAACTCTTTTGTTTCCTCGAGGACATGATGGAAACAAACTCAAAGGAGAAAAACCCACATTAACGCATTCATGTTCGAGACATTCATTCATGACATACTGGAATACGTGAATGAGGACTATTTGGCAGGTCATCAGACTTGCTACTGGAATATACACAAAGCCTTGGCCTCACTAATTCTGTCACATAGCAGGTCATTGAGCACAACTCAGAGGGATGAGCTCTGAGTTACCGGACTTCACGGCTCAAAGATCGGCAGAAAGGCCACTGGAGGTGGTCAGGCACACTCACAGAGCCAGTGACACGCAGCCGGACAGACAGTGCAGCTATTGAGCGCAAACCCATTCGGTGACCTCAAATGTGTGAATCAGCAAACATTCATTTTATCTAAAGGAAGAGGGAAAAATGTATGAATGGTTGGAAACAAAGGCGGAGGAAAACTGGCCGGAGGGATGATGAGGGCACTGATGAGGAAGCCGAAAGAGGGCCTGAGTCAAATGATGAGTGGAGGAAGTAACCAGCACAAGGGTGTTGCTGAGTAATCTCTAATTAACCGCTCGCTTACCGTAACCCTACAACAGCGCTACACAGACTGTCCAGTCACACTGAGACACACACACATTGTGGTGTTCTGTGCCTTAACGTACCATTCACACGTTCACTACTTTGGACTCAGCGCTCAGTATTTGTGCAGCATGTTTATCATTTCATTTTTCGGCCAAATATATTAAAAAACTTTTTTCTTGCCATCACAGAAAAAAATCAAACAAACTCCATGGTTGCACTGTGTGTGTGCAAGAAAACCAAAACAGGTTTTAAATCCTCTTTCATATTTCTGAAATAAATGTGACCATAAGACATAACTTAAAATATAGATATGCCCAGCCAGCATACTTTTCAGCAAATAATATCCAGCTATTTTAAACAAGATGAAATCTGAGGAATAAGAATAACACGCCGATTTGCGGGCAGTCAGGGCAGACTCACACTGAGGCTTTAGGTCAATAACCATCATTCCAATATTAATAATTTTGCATTGGCCAAACATTTTTTATAAGAGAGCGGTGCAGTTGTATTATATAAAGTAAAATTGGAACATCTCAAATAAAGAGTGAAAAACTCAACTATAGAGCATGATCATGTGTGAGCCCCACAAAGTGCATGCAGCTACAGCATCTGGACAGTGTCAGGCTAACTTTTCTCCCTTCTCCCCTCACTCATGGTCGAGCACTGAGGTTACACAGCAGCTGCATGCACAAAGTGTCCGTGCTTTCATAGAAATATGAATATTCCAGCTACAGAGCTGCATGCAAGAACGAGGTGCAGTAAACGGCCTAAATTTAACTCGGGGTGCAGAGTCCAGGAGTACAAACTGAGTAGGTGGTGCCTCAGTGTGTCCGACAGACGTTTTAGTTCACACCGCTTAACAAAAGTTCACCAAAGGTTCATAATATCCTTACAGCCGACAACACAATGCAAAGTAGTCTTTTTTTCTGCCAAGATGTTGAATTATTTCATCGAGCAACTTTACATTCCAAAGCACAAAAAATCTGAGACACTGAGTGACTCCCCCCCCCCCTCGAGGGAGTTTTCTTTCTGAATAAATTTGTTATAATGTGTTTGAAATGTGCCTTGGATGATATGACCAAAGGTTGTGGATGATATCAACACTATTTATTGAAAAAGATGTTTATTTATTTTTTTCCAGTGTGAAAATACTGTATTGTAACTTGAGAGAGAATAAATACTAACTTTTGTACACAGTGTGGTGTTACTGGTCATTTGGGAGTCCATAATGAGGGGAGAATAAATAAATGCATATGGGATTTTGTTTGCAATGGTTTTAGTTTTATAGGGATGGTTTCGGGTGATTGGCACACAGGGAGAGGACTTCGGGGTCTGGGCGTTTCCTGCTAAACAAAGGCCGGTTCACATGTATGGTGAAAAAATAGATCTGAGAGAGGCGGGGGTATGAGAGAGTTTTATTTGTCCATCCGAGAGAAAATTTACGATCTCTTCCTTTTCCTTTCATCTCTTTTCCCACCTCCCACTTTTCTTTTTCATCCCATTATCTCACGAGGCTCTTCTCTCACCACCACCACCCCTCACCAAAAAAAAAAAACACCGCCCAGACTTGTGACAGTGAGGGATCTATGCAAGCACAGGTAAGAACAAACCCCTCGTAATCCCACCAACAGCCCACAGTACTTGTTGTGTCTATTTAAATGCCGCTTATTGTCCCATCTCTGTCACCACCTCTGCCTCTTATCGTTTTTGCACAGCCCCTGTCTCCAGACGTGTATGGTTCCTTCACCTGTTATCTTTGTCCTTTATTCCTTGTTTGGCTTCTCAACTCCGAACTACTCTTTTTCCCACATCCTCGTCAATGTTCCGAACCCCCCCCCCTACTCGCCTCAGGCCAGATATTAAAGGATCAATGAGAATCTCCCTTCCATCACCTCCAAGGTACACACCTGCAAACAACCACACACTCCCGCCCTGGCACACTAATTATCCCTAACACACAAAGCGGACATTTGTGTCTGCAAACTGGCGCACTGGTGAACTTGCAAAGCAGGATTAGCCGAGCAGGAAGTGACTTATTACAAGAGGTCACCTGTCTCAATGCCAATATCACACACACACACACACACACACACACACACACACACACGCACACACACACACACACGAACACACACACACACACAGAAAGGGTCAAAACACATGACACATGTATACACACACAAGACACAGTGTGTTTTTTACATTTGGTAAGTGGAAGTGACTGAGGGCCGGCAGCAGTCAACAAAGGCTGCTTTGTAGGGTCCGTGTGTGTGTGTTTGTGTGTGTTTGCGTGCGTTTATCTGTGTGTGAGTTTATTGTTTGCCCCTGTGTGGGCTTGCCAGCGCAGCACGTGTGTGAATCATTATCTCTATGTGTCAGAACTTCGTTGGAATGAGGGTTGTCATGCATAGCTATCTAACAGCCATCCCTCACTGTAGTCTGGCTCTCTCTCCCTCTGCCCGTCTCTCTCTGTCAGCGAGTCAGAGACAAATCGCTGTAACTAATACGTAACAGGACAGCTGAGCCCTGTTAGAATGACTCAGCTGGCAAGCTCCTCCATCGGAACAGAAACTGACTGACAAGGCAGTGATATTATGGGATTGTTTGCTCTATCAGGCTCAAGTGGGCCTAGCTGTCTGACAGGCAGGCCCTGATCTTCTGCAGAAGAAGAGTGGAGCTGCAGGTGATTTCGTTGGAACGCTTTTATTTGCTCTTGGGGAGCCAAGCTCTTTCTTCTGTGCCTCATTTGATTTTTGGTTGTTTTTTTTCACACGCCTCTTAGAATCGCTAAAGAAAATGTCCACATTTCCAAGTCTCGTGCATTTTAAAGCCAGGTGTCGCAACTCTTCGTTTTCCCACCATTTCTCACCTCTGTGACGTTTGGTTCAAATAATCTCAGCAGAGGTCGATAAAAAATGCTCAAATGTATTGAACTCCAAAATAAATATGTGACTCTTTGACAGCAGAATATTCAGCTCTATTGTGTGCAACAGTAACAAGTAACTATTCGCATTTTGCAATGACATTTGAATATAGTTTGTAAGCTGCAAAAGCAAGGGGGATATAGAATCGCTCAGTGAACAGTCCCAACTTTTGTTTCCAGGAAAGATCTACCTTGACTAGTAAAACATATGCAAGCACATGCTTTCATGGATTATCGTGAAACGACAAGGTAATTTCTATTTACTATGCAAATATCATCACGAAAGCTTAAATATTTATCGATGCACTGAGATTTCCAACATCCTGTCAGTGAGTTGAGGCTCTGGCCATGGAATGTGCATTGGTCAAGACCAAATCTGCTCTCACCTTCTTTCTTTATACATAATGCCCAAAAAGCTCACAAAAACTATGTATGTCTCATATCAGTGGCGATTTATGTTCATTCCAGCCAGTACAGTGTGGTGGCAGCTGGCGTTCAGGGTAAGAGCATCGGCCTGCCAGTAGGCGGGTTGGTGCTTTAAAACCCTGACTACATGTCAGGGCGTCTTTGGAAAAAAAATTCAACCCCCACTGAAACCCAGTTATCAGTCTCAAATGGGGTGTGTTGTCCTAAATGTGCCAGTCCAAAGCCTGAGGAAGGGCGTCTGGTGTAAAAACTCCTACCAAACTTACAACCCCAGATGCAAGAAAACAAACACCAACAAACCGTACAGTGGTGCTGTATTTTTAACTAAGGCCGTAAGAGAAGCAAGGCTAACAATGTCTATATAAAATTAGTTATGTTAAAATAATACACTATATTGCCAAAAGTATTTGCTCACCTGCCTTGACTCACATATGAGCTTAAGTGACATCCCGTTCCTAATCCATAGGGTTCAATATGACGTCGGTCCACCCTTTGCAGCTAGAACAGCTTCAACTCTTCTGGGAAGGCTGTCCACAAGGTTTAGGAGTGTGTTTATGGGAATTTTTGACCATTCTTTCAGAAGCGCATTTGTGAGGTCGCACACTGATGTTGGACGAGAAGGCCTGGCTCTCAGTCTCCGCTCTAATTCATCCCAAAGGTGTTCTATCGGGTTGAGGTCAGGACTCTGTGCAGGCCAGTCAAGTTCATCCACACCAGACTCTGTCATCCATGTCTTTATGGACCTTGCTTTGTGCACTGGTGCACAGTCATGTTGGAAGAGGAAGGGGCCAGCTCCAAACTGTTCCCACAAAGTTGGGAGCATGGAATTGTCCAAAATGTCTTGGTATGCTGAAGCATTCAGAGTTCCTTTCACTGGAACTAAGGGGCCAAGCCCAGCTCCTGAAAAACAACCCCACACCATAATCCCCCCTCCACCAAACTTTACACTTGGCACAATGCAGTCAGACAAGTACCGTTCTCCTGGCAACCGCCAAACCCAGACCCGTCCATCAGATTGCCAGATGGAGAAGCGCGATTCGTCACTCCAGAGAACGCGTCTCCACTGCTCTAGAGTCCAGTGGCGGCGTGCTTTACACCACCGCATCCGACGCTTTGCATTGCACTTGGTGATGTATGGCTTGGATGCAGCTGCTCGACCATGGAAACCCATTCCATGAAGCTCTCTGCGCACTGTTCTTGAGCTAATCTGAAGGCCACATGAAGTTTGGAGGTCTGTAGTGATTGACTCTGCAGAAAGTTGGCGACCTCTTCGCACTATGCGCGTCAGCATCCGCTGACCCCGCTCCGTCAGTTTACGTGGCCTACCACTTCGTGGCTGAGTTGCTGTCGTTCCCAAACACTTCCATTTTCTTATAATACAGCTGACAGTTGACTGTGGAATATTTAGGAGCGAGGAAATTTCACGACTGGATTTGTTGCACAGGTGGCATCCTATCACAGTTCCACGCTGGAATTCACTGAGCTCCTGAGAGCGACCCATTCTTTCACAAATGTTTGTAAAAACAGTCTGCATGCCTAGGTGCTTGAATTTATACACCTGTGGCCATGGAAGTGATTGGAACACCTGATTCCGATAATTTGGATGGGTGAGCAAATACTTTTGGCAATATAGTGTATGTCAACATCAATGTTAGTTAACTGTGTGAGTGATCAGTTTGTATTCAGTCAATCAATTTGTTAACCGAACTTAACAATACGTCATACAACACAAAATGCTTTACAGTACAAAAAGCTTTAAAAAGACAAATATTTCCAACTTTACCTAAATTAAACAAACTGGCACTATCAGGAATTGGGTGTGATGTACGTTTGTTTAATTTGGGTCCATAAGTTTCTCAGTATCTTTATTTTCATTGCTGATTCGAAAATTAATTCCTGACACAGAATAACCTTTCTTAAATTCATGTTTTGTCTTATGGGCCGGCACGGTGGTGTGGTGGTTAGCACCATCACCTTACAGCAAGAGGCTGTGTCTGCGTGGGTTCTCTCCGGGTACTCCGGCTCCAAAAACTCCCAAAACCTGCATGTTAGGTTGAATGGACATTGCAAATTGTCCTTAGGAGTGAATGTGATTGTGAATATGAATGTGGTTGTTTGTCCTTGTGTGTCTCTGTGTGGCCCTGCGATGGACTGGCCGACTGTCCAGGGTGTACCCTGCCTCTTGCCCATTGACTACTGGGATAGGCTCCATTTGGGAATAAGCGCTTCAGAAAATGGATGGATTGATATATAATTTATTTGATTTTTTTATGAGAAACTTCCTCTCAGGTTCAGTGGGATTATATCTACAGCTTAGCGGTTGAACTGTTACAGCTGAATTTGGGTAGTTAATTAAACCGGAAAAGGAGAGAGGGAAGTAATTAAATGCAAATTTTCTATGTCGCATGCCTATGTTACAAAAGTACATTTAGCTACTAACAATAATGTCACTGTATCAGTTTATTGCAGGAATAAAATCTATTATTAGACCAAAGTGAACATCTGGAAGTGCCCCAAGCTAGAAAACAGCCTTAATGGGCGGAATTTTAGTCACTAAAATATCCATTTAAATGATTGGCAAACTGTGTGAATTAGTTATGATGGGAAGACATCTGACTGAACATATTCTTACACATTTCTGTTTTAGCTAAAACAAAAAAAAT